TAAGTGTCTATTTATAAGGTAGCAATAATGTTTGCGTCTATCCTTCCTAAATTTTAATTGTGAAATTACACTGCGTATATTATTATTGTCTATATTTAGAGTCTATCTTACTTCTGACGTCTCTTTTACGTATTCCTCGTCAAAAGTAGCTCATGCATACACAGGTGGATAACAGAGTGGTTGTTGAGGTGGTGACATTGATGACGGAGATGGTGGTGGAACTTGGAAGCATGGGCGAATAAATTCAAAACTATATGAAATGTATTGTAAATTATAACTTTTTTCATATAAAAAAATACACTTTAAACTATTGGTCAAAGTTCATATAATTTACTTCGTAAAATAAATATATTATGACAAGTATTTTAATATAGGATCACTTTAATGACCTATTTATGAGACTTACAATTTGTTTGTATGATTGTTACAAACTTTGCGTGTCGTGTTCATGCTATTGTTGTCGTTATAGTGAAAAGGGGACGTGCGTTACTAGAAGTTCATCCTCTCCTTTTTGGATAATATCTCTTCGTCAGGTTTATAACAAATTTTAAAGTGATGAACATTATCGGTATAAATTTGTATATTTCTTTGGTTCTTCTTTTCTAAGATTTTTTTGGTGATTTGAGGGTCATCTCCTTGATATTTATTTGATCTTTGAGTGTATATTCCATAAATTTACAAAAATTTCGAAATGCCTTTTTAAGGGTATATTATCTTTTATTATAGGCATGAATTAAGATTTAGAGTTGAGTACCATCCAAAAACCCTAACTATAATTGAACACGTCTGGTAAAGTTTCATAAAATTTTGATGTCTACCCCTGTCTCCCTCGCAATGTTACCAATTCTTATAAAGAGTTTAAAATTTTAATCTCAATCCAATATGAAATATTTTCATTTAACACCTCTCTCTTTCTTTACGTCTGAACTAATCTCAATTTCTTTTATTCGAAGTTTTATTATTTGGTCTAAAGTGTGATATTCAAGAATCAAAAGTAAATTCATAACCATTATATAATTAGAGACATATTAAATTAGATTTTGAACTTATAAATCACATTTTAAAAGTTAACTCAAAAAGAAAAAACCTAAGCATTATAAAATTTCTTTCTCGTCCCAATCCGACGTAAGATCATTCTCATCAACAAACAAAGATAATAATTCCATTTTATGTGTCACTATCTTCCCGACCTTCATAGGATTTTCTTATTGGTTGGTAAGTTGGTTGGGGCGAAAGGAATGCAAAAACAACTATTTGTGTCCTAGGTGTATTACATTATTTCATTTGACATTGTATGTCTTTTTTGGAATTTGACGATTTTTTGATATCAACCCTCCACATAATATGTTTATAATTACGACTATAAGTTAAAAAATATTTGATAAGTGTCACATTTTTTTTTAAAAGATCTATATTAATCTCTCGCTTAAAATTATCCTTATATATAGAAGCTTTGTAAAAGATCAAGGTAAAATAAGACTTTAATTAACCAAACAATGGAATAATATTATATTAGATCAGCATTTCTTTTTTCCTAATAGAATTAAATAAAATTATCCAATCAAATCATGGACAAATTTGATCAATTTTTGCTAATGACTTTATTCTTATCTTCAGTAAGAAGAGTTGTTGCTTAATTTATTTATTTATTTTCATAAAGAAAGCAACATCGTCTCCTACTTTTCTTTTCAAGTGTCGAGTCTATTAAGGAAATATTTTAAATAATTTTAATCTTGATTCTTTATTTATGATTCTAATATATTAATAAAAAGTTTTTTAATTAGTCTTCATTTTTTTAATTAGAAATCAGTGAATTCAGTTGCTCAAACTTTAACTAGCTAGGACGGTTATTTTATGTCCATTCAATGCCACTATCTTTTATTTTTGATATACTCACTTTTGATTTAGCGATAATTAAGAAGATATCTTTTAAAAAGAGCTGAGAGTAACAACATAATGAAATATCTCAATTTTAAATTTGAGCTTCATACTAAATTATCAAGTGCGTAAATTTTCTGTAAAAGCAATAAATGTGTTACTTTCTTTAACTATCGGTTATTTAGTTTTTCTATCTGAACAAGAATGATAATTCAAAAGAAAAAAAAGTGAATAACTATTGCTTTATGAGAAAAGATGAAATAAAATTTGACTAACCAAACATTAAAAAAAATTGTTTTTTCATCCATACCAAACACACCCCTAAATTCACATATAAATAACTAATTTTTATTTATCCAGCTATCAAACAATAGCTAATTAAGATGCTTCGACAAAAGTGTAAAAAAATAGATTCTGTGAAAAAGGACATGTGGAGCCCCATTTTTATCAGAAAGGAATACTTTAGTCGTTATCAATATTATCTGCACGTTCTTTATTAGACCCAAAATTTATTTTTATGTCACTCTAAATAACATATCACAAAAAAAATACGTTAAATAGATAAATATTTTAACAATTTAAATAATAATTACGATAAATAAATTAAAACAATAAAATAAATGGTACAAGTTGAGTTAAAATCATTAAGCAACAAATTTTACAAAATTACTAGATCATAAATTCATAATGCTTATCTTTATTTGTATCCCCGATATAAAAAATTTTAAAGTAGGAAAACATCTTTTCTCGTTTTTATTTTATTTTTCATATTGGATTAATCTCTTGCCTTATAAAATAAATTAATTAAATCTCTTGCCAAAAGAAAAATATTTGTATTTCTCATTTTTTAGTAGAAGGAAAAAATAAATTACTTAACTAAAGATATTTAATTTGAGCTTTGAAGTAGAATTTTCATTTATTTATAATACATAAGTATAGATGAATTTTAAGAATTTAAATTAGTGGAGTGAATTCTAGATTTAAAATAATAAAAAGATGCAAAGGTAAATTGTGAAAGAAAGATGAACATTGGATACGTTTTTTTTTCTTTCTTTTTCATATATCGATGTAATTGGTAGAAAGTTGTAGAATATTCTAATGTTGAAAAACATTCCAAACAAAAGCAATTCAAAATGTTCAAATTCAGAATCATTGAAAAACAGGAGATTAATATACAGAATATAGAAGGGACTAGACGATGTAATCTCAAAGATGAATTTTTCAATTAATAAAAATTAACGACATTCTAATAATAAAAATATTGATTATCAATGTAAAACTCTTTTTTTTTTTTTGAATTGAGTTTTAAGTGATATCGAAATATATTTAGATACAAGATATTAAGTTGATTAAAATCCGTATCACCTATAATTATACAATTTGTTCATTGTACTTGGTGGCCATAGGCAAAAAAAATTGTAAGTAATGTCACATTTTATAATGAGAATGAATAAATAAAATATTCTAACTTCGTATTAAGAAAAAATACAAAACATAACTTACATATAAATTTTTATTTTTAATATATTTTAAAATAATCTCATTAAAACTAGTAGCTAACATTTCTTCTCTCTTTTTTTTTTTCTATAAAAGCTCAACTATATATTACTAAAAATACTCATTATATGATCAAAAACCTAGCTTACATCAAGTTTCTCCATCTTTTCCTACCCATAGAAACAAACACAAAACAAAATAAAATTGACTTTAGCATAGAAATTTGTGCAAATATTTGTCTCCAAAATTTCTATCAAACAAGAAATTATAACTTCAAAACTTGGCCTTTCATGCACAATGTGAAAATTTTCTTTCACCAACTCCAAAATGTAGAAAAAAACAAAATGAATTTTCCAGTGCTGATGTTAAAAAGATATAAGAGTTTGGAGTAATTGGTTCAGTTTTAAAAAATAAAAATAATAATAATGTATTAAAAATATTTTAAACCTTTTCTTCATTTTGAATAATATTTGTATAGTTAATAATCTGTTTAAATTTTTACTCATTCTATTCTTTCTTATCCAAAATAAATGAATACTACCCCTTAATTACTTCCCAAAGTTTTCTTAAAACTACTAGATATACTTGGAAAATTTATTAGAGACTGATAATTCTTTTTTGTAAAATTAATTAATACATCTTTAAATTTTAAAAAATTCATTCAGTCTATTAAAAAAAAAAAGAGAATTATCAAAAACACCCTTAAATTTAACACAAATTATTAGTTTTATCCCCGAACTATGGACAACCTTAAAAACACCCATCTACTTGACTAACTAAACTTAAATACACCCCCTATACACTCTCGATATGCCGCATGACATAGCAAATGATCTCAAACTCTTGTAGAAACATGAAGTTCTTCATAAAAATCAAAGGAAGTATTGAAAATACTCCTAAACTTGACGAGAATTTAGGGATGTATTTCATTAATATTACAAGATTGGGGTTGTATTTAGCTTAAAGTAATTAAATAAAGGGATATTTTTAAAGCTATCTATAATTCGAGATGAAATTAATAATTTACGTTAACAAATGGATCAACTAGATATGTATGTCACTCACTTGTGTCTATTTGTTCCTTCTGTTTATTTCTTAAATGAGAGAAGAAGAAGAAAAATTTCAGTGCCTTTCTGCAACTTTCCAAGATTAGCATTTTTTACTCTGTTTTTTTTCCACCAATTATAAAGGTAAACTTTTTTTTCTCTTGAATTTATAATTAATCTCAGTTTAATTGAGTTCTTAATCATTACTTACCTTTCATGTAAAACTTCATTTTCTTGTCTTTAATCCTCTTTGCTTTTGTTTAATTCAGTGGAAAAGCCTCTGTTTTTTTAATCTTTTGTGTGAAAATCATGCTGCTTTTCCCATTTTTATTTTCATCATTTGCTTATAGTTCACTGAATCTTTGGTGGGGTTTTTTCTTTTTTTCATTTTTTGTACTTTTTTCTTTCTGAATTATCAAAAGTTTTAATTTTTTTCGTCAAGAATTTAGCTTTTGGTTCTTATATGTTGTTTTTTAGATACCCTTTTGTTATTTGTGGGTGATTGAGTCTTTTTCTTGCATTTTTATGCTTGAGGAAAACACTGACATTGATGTTTTGTTTTATTTGGTATTTTGCAGTTTTGGGAACTTTTTGTGTTGGCTATGCAGAATTGTTTTCCAAAGAAAGATTGAATTGCATTGAAGAAAAAAGATTGTATTTTTGGGGCAATGGATGGGAAGAGATTTGTTGTATGCTGTTTGAATTTGGAGATTTTGGTGTGGATTCTTTTAGCTTTTGCTGTACAGCTTTCAGATGAAGCTAACCCTGGAGATGGTAAGGAACGACAGTCGCCAAGTCTTAGTAGGCGTTTGGACATGAATTGAGTGATATATGGGCAAAAAGATTAGTATTTGATGTTCAGTTGCAAAATAGTATTTAGAAACTGAAGTTGTGTTTTGACATGCATTTTAGTTTTTTAAAAAAGTTGTAAAACAATGTTTTGAGAAGAGGGAAAACAAATTCATGTCCAAACGGGTAAGTAATTTCCAGTGTAAATGTTCATAAGGGAATTCCAAGTTCATGTTTTGTGCAATGCTGATTATGTGAGAATATGTAATTATCTAAGCTAGTTGTTGATTTGAGCTCAAAAGTGACTGCATTTGCTTATTGTCCTTATAAATTTGAACTAGTAGGTAGTCTTCTTGCTTCTTATAAAGTTTGTACCTTTTGTTTAAAAAAAATTGGGGATAGGGTAAATGGTCGAGAGATTACAAGGTGGAGAATCGAACTCTCATCAATAAGGTGAAAGTTCTACCAGCTCAGCTACTAAGATTTCCCTATAATGTTTGTACCTTCACTTGCATTGTCCTGACATTTTATTGGGTTTGCAAGTTGAGGACTAACAGCTTTTGCGCCTATTCTGGTTGATTGCCTCTCAGGGAAGTTCATAGTTAGCCTTTGTTAATTGATTGGGTTCTAAATTTCCACATGGTTTGTTTCTGTAATTGATTGGATTCTAAATATCTATATGGTTTCATGGATCAATTTCGGCACTTTCTTCTTTATGTTTGGAATTTCTTAACAATTCTCCTTTTGTATTGGTCAAGTTGCTGCAATTAATAACTTATATGCTTCTCTGGGATCGCCATCCCTTCCGGGCTGGGATGCTGTTGGTGGAGACCCATGTAATGGACTTTGGCAAGGGGTCGAATGCGACAATGGAAACATACTGACAATGTAAGGACTTACCATTTACTACATTGCGTAGATTTTTGTGGAACTGAAATGCTAATCTTACTTATCATGTTGTAGTCGACTCAATGCTGCTAACTTGGGAGGTGAACTTGGGGATAACTTAGGCTCATTTTCTTCTCTCAAAATAATGTAAGCTTCTCACATATCTCCTAGCTTAAAAGTTTGCTTGTTCGTATGCATGTGTTTTTCATAGACATAATACGTGAACACACTCAAACTTGGCCTCAGTTCGCAAGTAAACACTCCAACTTAGAGAGTGGACATCTAGACACCTCAACTGGAAACTAAACACTTCAACTGGTCCCCACTGCATCTCGTGGTTTGGAGGTGTTTAGATGATCATTTTGTAAGTCGGAGGGTTGAACTGACTCAGAGGAGACGAGTTGAGGTGTCTGGTGCATACTCAAAGTTGGAGTACTTACTTGCCAGTTGAGGCCACTGTTATGATATGTGAATACTAATTGTGGTCATCTCCTGTGGCAGAGATCTGAGCAACAACCATATTGGCGGAAGCATTCCGTCTAATCTGCCAGTTACCTTGCGGAATATGTAAGTTCTACCATTTGACTTATGAAGGATCCCCAGAAACACGGGAAAAAGAAAGAAAAGAAAGAGGACATATTGATAAACCTAGCTTTAATTATTGAGTAAAACAATTGATATTCTTTACCTTGGACAGTTTTCTTTCAGCTAACGCATTCACTGGAAGTATCCCTACTTCTTTGTCTTCCCTGAGTCAACTTTCAGCTATGTAAGTATCATTTATAGTGTAGATTAAAAGTTGCTTTCTTCATGAAGAATCAAACTCAGGTATTTCGCTGTGTGTCAGGTCTCTGAATGGCAACCATTTGACTGGAGAAATTCCTGATTCCTTTCAAGGCCTTACCGCTTTGGTCAATCTGTATGAAAGCAAACAAAAGCATTTACATACTTCCATTTAGTTTTTTTCATATGAATAACTGGTTTGGGTGTTTATCTTTCAACAGTGATTTGTCAAGTAACAATTTAAGTGGATCATTGCCACCATCTGTAGGAAATTTGTCTTCATTGACCACTCTGTGAGTAACAGTTTGTTTGTAACTTTATAGTTTGATCAATATGATAAAACTAACTTCTTGATTTCCAGATATTTGCAGAATAATCAGCTTTCTGGAACTCTTGATGTTTTGCAGGATCTTCCCCTTGCAAATTTGTACTCTTCCAAACTAGATTTTACTCGAATATAATTCAGTTCACTAGAATGATAGAATCTTACTAACATCTCTCCACCCTCCCTGTGTCCTTTCTAGGAATGTGGAAAACAACTTGTTTTCTGGGCCCATACCTCAAAAGTTGTTCTCTATTCCCAATTTCAAGTAAGTACATTCATTTTATGCTTTCATATACCTGTTTCATTTTTGTTTATGTTGAGTCAACATCTTGTATCTTAAAATGTAATCTTGGTCACATTTGATATCACTGTATCCCTCGTCGTTTGTTGGAGATATCATTTGACATGTAACATATCCCACAAAAAAGATATATAATCATAGAAGACAATAGGCATGTATGTCGAAACCGCGGAAACAAATATCTTATCAAGTTCAATTTTACTTAATACTGCTCTTTATTTTCCAATAATGCCTCACTTTTGTACTATCTACCAGTGGTTATAACCAAACATATAACTTTTCTAGCTCCCAATACCCCCCTTTAAAGCTTGAGAACTTGTATCGTCTGTGCTATGCTTCATACACACAAGTAAACCTTTCAGAAACTTCTTGTTTTCAAGTTCCTGAAATCTTACTTAGTAAAAAATGGATGTACTTGTATGCTATGTTGCTCGGACTCGTATTGGATCCTCCCAAAGTAATCCGACACTGGTGCAACAATATATTTGGAAAGTCCGAGCAACATAGCTTGTATGCTGCAAGGTCATTTTGTACACCAAAAATATAGGCTTAATGTCTGACATGGATATGAATCCTAAACTTGCCCTTAGCATAAATGAAAGCTCAATGAGTAAAAGTAAGAATAAAACGAATAAGAAATTGACCTGAAAAAAGAAAAAAAGAATCCTGACAAGCTTGTCATTTAAATACATGAATTCTATCATATGGCCAGTCCCTCAAAACTTGGAAGTAAACAACTCATATAGACACAATAAATAGACTGCAGATATAGGTATAGATTTACAAACCGTAGTACAGTATGCATATGAAAACATACAAATAGTTAAGTTATGATATTCATGACCTGTAAAATAGACAAAATTGCAAGTTATTTAGTTTAGCAAGCTGGTTCCTGGTCTAAACTTGATCATAATTTAAGTTCACATTCCATAGTGGCTATACTCTAGTTAGGTCACCCACCTTAATCATATATCGAGCCGTTAACTTTCAGGAGGCAAAAATAACATGGAAGTCAGGCAGTCTTATTTATTAAGCTGACTTAAATGGTACAAGTTGGTAGATATATTTGATATATGCAAAGATCAATGTATCAGTTGTTGGATCATTTTGTTACCATCTGATACATGCCTTGTCGATTATGATCAGTGATGGTTTGTACTGTCTTAGTTACCGGTTTTGTTTTTCGTGCAGAAAAGATGGAAATCTTTTCAACAGTAGTACTGCTCCTTTACCTCCACCCACATCATCAACAGCACCTCCCATTTCTGGGTCTCCAACTTCAGCACAGACGCCATCTTCTCAAAGCAAACCTAAAACACAGGCCGATGGACCATCAGCATCTGCAGAATCAAGTTCAACAGGAAAAAAAAAGTCTTTATCTGTTAAAAGGGTGGTCTGGATATCAATTGCAGCAGTTTTGTCATTTATCATATTGGTTTTAGCAATCCTTCTCTGTCTGCCAAAGTGCCTCAGGAAATGGCACGAGACTCAAAGAACCCCCAAACACCATGAAATAGCCCCTTATATGGGTGCTAGAGAGAATCTTGGAGATAGTGGTTCATTAGTCCAACCTGGCCATGATATAGAAAAAGGTGCTTCAAAATACTCAATATCTATATTATTTTATGATATCTTTTATCACTGTTTCCTAAAGTTCAACTTTTTTCCCTTAGGCTTCGTTTGGTAGGATGTATTAGAGAAATTAATACATGTATTAGTGATTGTATTATTTAATCCTTTGTTTGCTAGGATTTTCAGCATATGTATAACTAATATTATTCAATATTATAGGGTGTATAACTTATACCTAACAAACCATGGTATTAGTAATACAATGGTTATTAATACATGGATAAGTATGGTTAAAGACAGAACTGTCCTTAATATATCAAACTAAACCGTGGATAAGAAACTATATCTAGCATAACTAACCCCAACATAATTAATCCCAACATTACCAATCTCGGCACTACTAATACACCCTATTTCAATACTATTATACATTCTACCAAACGACCCCTTAGTTACTTGAAAAAAAAAGATATTGGGTCTGTTGTGTTGATGCACTTGAGCCAAGGGTCTTTTGGAAATAGTCTCTCTACCACCACGAGGTAATGGTAAGGTCTGCATACATTCTACCCTCCCCAGAACCTACTTAGTGGGATTTCACTGGGTATGTTGTTGTATTGGATGTCTGTTGTGCAGCATTTAGAACTGAAAAGTTAATGAATCTCAAAGTTTAACCTTCTACTCTTTAGTCTTTAGTGATAAGTGGTTTTCTTATGTGTTAAACAGCTCCCCTAGTTGTGACGACAAAAGAAAAGCAACCAAGAAGACCGGCTCCCATTCCAAAGCCACAAGATGAGCAGCAGGTAAATGTGCAAACCATGAGTGCTGTGCCAAAGAAGGATGATAGTGAGATAAACCTTGGCAGATTGGATATTGATTTGACGCCACCACCTCCGCCTCCTCCTCCTCCGCCTCTGCCTCCGCCTACTCTTCCACAAGAGAGAGTTATTGTCGAGCCGATTGCGCCTGCTGAAGATACAGCAACGAGGCTTCCAACCAGGCCACTTCCACTAACTTCTGTGAAATCTTACACAATTGCATCACTTCAGCAATACACTAATAGCTTCTCTCAAGATAATCTGTTGGGATCAGGAATGCTGGGTAGTGTATACAGGGTGGAGCTTCCTAATGGAAAGGTATAACTTTCAATCGGCATGAATATATTATGATGTACCAATTTATTAACCGTGGTTTCCTACTTCCACTAGATTGCGAGAGTCTTGACTTACCGCTTTTTCTCTCCTTACTTTTATTTCTCCATCATGTTTGGTATTCTGGAATGCTAAATTATCAGCAAGTAGCATCAAAATTGCCTCTTTATCTCTAGTATAAATTGTTACATTGCTTAGATTTATCAAGAATGGTTGTGATACAAGCACAATTATATGCAAAAAGGCTGTTTGTAATGGAAAATTCACCTTCATATATCCTTAATTAGAGCACTCCTTAGCAAATCTATTAAATGAGTTCTACCTATTGTATCTGATATAATGATTCTTGAATTACTTTAGCTAGTTGAGACCTGCTTAAGGACAAAAGTTGTAATTGCAATATTTTTCCTCTAGGTTTCTTCTAGTTCTTTTCTTTTCCTCCTTGTTCCAAATTAATCTTCAACTAGTATTTTTTTTTTCCAGTAACCAACATCATCGACGATATCTTGTCCTAGAAGTGTATTACAAATTTGTTAAAATGAAAAACAGCCTTCTAGCTATATGATATTACTATTTTTCTGCCTTGACTTTTGTCTCACTTTATAAGAGGAACCGCCAGATACTGCTGCGTCTTTTTTCTGGTCATGATTTTAACTATTAAAGTAAGTATATGCATGCTGTTTCATTTATATAAATTCCTTGGGGATGTATATGCATTTCTCTGGCATGTAAATCTTACCGCTCTTCCTTCTCTTGCACTATGCACCACATCATTCAAGTGGTTGCAACATTTCACTTCTGACACATGCTCCTTTTGGATGCTTCTGCAGTTGCTTGCTGTCAAAAAACTGGACAAAAGAGTTTGTGATCAACAAAAGGATGATGAGTTTCTTGACCTAGTAAACAATATTGACAGAATTCGTCATGCTAATGTTGTTGAGCTGATGGGCTATTGTGCAGAGCATGGTCAAAGGCTTCTGGTCTATGAGTATTGCTGTAACGGGACACTACAAGATGCACTGCATTTCGACGATGAATTCAAGAGACAACTTTCATGGAATACTCGCATGAGGATGGCTCTTGGAGCTGCAAGAGCTTTAGAGTATGTCAAATAACATTACATACATTTAATTATGCACATCATGTTTGTACACGCTCGCGTTCATGCGTGTGTGTATTAGTGTTTTGGGACCTATAATAAGTGTTTCTGCACATACCATATGATAAATCAGTGCTATTAAACACTAAACAATAAAATGGTTCTGATATAGTGGCAAATTCAATAACAAGCTCATTTTAGTCCTAACTTTCTTGTGTTGTGTATATTACATGATAGAAAGCCACACAAACGACTTGGAATGGTCTTAACTATATGTAAAATGTTAGATGTAGCTGTCTTTTGCTTCCTCTCCTTTCTTTGCTTCTGAATGTTCAAGAAAAAGATGAAGAAAATTAAATTAATTGGTTTGCCACGCTATGCTGTAAAAGGGAAGCCCTATGCACAAAACATCCCGCATTAGCAGTCCGGGGAAGGGCCATACCCCAAGGGTTGTGATGTAGACAGCCTACCCTAATGCAAGCATTAGTGGCTGCTTGCAAGGTTCGAAACCATGACCTATAGGTCACACAGAGACAACTTCACCGTTCCTAAGCAGTCTGATTCTCATTTCAAGATTTGCATGAAAAAGTGAGGTAGACTGCTAGAGCATGTTTTTAATTAATAATCATTCTTGTTTGATGCAATGCAGGTATCTCCATGAAGTCTGCGAGCCACCTATTATTCATAGAAACTTCAAGTCTGCCAATCTTCTGCTTGATGAGGAGTTGGCCGTACATGTTTCAGATTGTGGTTTGGCTCCACTTATATCATCTGGTGCTGTGAGTCAGGTAACTTGTGACCCTAATGTTATGGAGTAGAAAGAATTGAAATGCTTCCTTGGATTATTAGTTTCCTCTATGAGCTGCAAGTGGAAAGAAAAATGGATTCCTAGTGTTTGATAGAAGTGGACATGGGAGCTGAATAAATAATTTAAAAAAGGAACAGTAGTGATGGTCAAAGTGTTTTCAACAAGATGTTGGAATAAGGAGCAGTAATAATGAATTCCTGTAAATGTGTAAAGTATATTCTTTGGGAAATGGTTGGTTCTCACCCTGTAGGATAGGGTGAAGGTGTTGTCAAAGGCGCGCTTAAAGCACGCTTGAGCTCTGAAGCGAGGCTCAAAATGTGTTGAGCATTTCACATCGCTTAATGTGAGATTAGGGGTCTATAGGAAACAACCTTTCTACATCTGAGGTAGGGGTAAGGTTTGCGTACACTCTACCCTTCCCAGACTCCACTGGGTATGTTGTTGTAAGTAAAGACAAATGGTGAAGGTGCTCTTCTCATGATGTGTTTTATATGAACAGAAAATTGCTCTAGGATGCATGTGGATCATCTATCTTGCTGTTATTTGTTGTTCTTTTGATAAAGTAGTCTTGCTTAGTCTTGGGTTTGATTACTGTTACGTTCAATCTAAGGTATGTTAAAAACTATATCAAGTTGACATTACACTGATTTTTCAGTTGTCGGGACAACTTCTCACAACATATGGCTACGGTGCTCCCGAATTTGAGTCAGGGATTTACACTTCCCAAAGTGATGTTTACAGTTTTGGTGTGGTGATGCTGGAACTAATAACAGGCAGAATGTCATATGACCGGTAAAAAAGCCTTCTGCATCTTTTTGAGCTAATATAGTTGTGCCTCATTTCTCAGTTAACACACCTGCATATCATGTTCAGGACACGGAGTCGAGGAGAGCAGTTCTTGGTCAGGTGGGCAATCCCTCAGCTACATGATATTGATCTCTTGACAAGGATGGTTGATCCTGCTCTCGATGGAAAATACCCCATTAAATCACTATCACACTTTGCTGACATAATTTCCCGCTGTGTTCAGGTGAGTTATTCTGTTGTTCCTTCATGTGAAACACATAAATGCTTACTAATATGCATTGTCTAATCGCTGAGTGTACCGAATAGTCTTAGATTGTTCGTCATCTCAATCAGTTGGAAGGATATTTCTAGGATCTAGTTGTGGAATAGGTTTGCCTTCAAATGTCACTTAACTTTTAAACTCTTATACAGCATGAGCGAGAATTCAGGCCACCAATGTCTGAAGTTGTTCAGGACCTCATACAAATGATAAGAAGAGAATCTCACAAAAGATCTGATGGTGAATGATTTGAGTTAGACGCGCATACTGGGAATTCAGCCGGTGAGAAACTAAGATTATTTCTTCTTCGAAGGAGCTGAGATACTCGGAAAAAGAAAGGCGGTTTGCAGGCCAAGCACCGTGCTAAAGACAACTTCAAACTGAAGCAAAATGCACCTCAAAGAAGTGCGATTCATGAAAATACCAACACATGCAGGCGACTTAATGACCTGTAAAAACAGCTTGCTCATCTGATTCTTGTCAAGCTGCATCATTTTAATGTTCATTTAGGCTTACATGTGAGCACCAATGCATATAATTCATTGATCTTGACAAAATGGTATATTTTCTTGAAGTTGTATATCTTTACTTGCTGCAACATGTACAAACTTCATTTGGTTCTACAATGATACCTTCATTCTTTCTCATGTACTTGTTGCACATGCCAAAGTTATTTACTACTAGTCATTACCTAAGGAGTTGGAGACCTACAACCACTCAACCATGTAACAATATGTAAATTAGATAGAAGATACAAGTTCAATATAGGTAAAAAAGACCTTTCCATCTACCTAATCTTTGTTGAAGAGTTAGCAAAAGGATGCACACACTCACAAGAATGATCTCAACTTTTTGGCACTAAAATTATGACTCAATCCCTCATGTGTTTGGAATAAAACCAATCAACTAAAATTGTGAGTTTGCGACGCTGAGGGAGGGTGAGTTAAGCAGGACTATCATGTTTTTACCTTAGTAAGCTTTTAAAGATGAGGTGCACATGACATTTAACGTGAATCCGAATCCATATCAATACAAAGGAGAAAGTTCTCATAATATGTGCGACTCAATATGACATAGTTCGAAAGATGTACGAATCTAAGTCCAAAGTATACAATACGTTAATATATCATTGAAAAGAACATTATTTTCATTCTATTTGTTTTGAGGCTCGAATAGTTTATATTCATGCCAAAAATCTCACTAAGGGGTAAATCGCTCCCTATAAATACCAAAAACGAAAAAGAATAAAAGTATACTTATCACTATCGCAATTTTCGATGACATTGAACTTTGTAGTAAAAAATAATTGCAAGAACCCATCTTCCCCACCAACCCTCAACACTAAAAATAAAACTCAAAACCTATATAAACCCCAAGATTTCTCTCTGTTATCTTCCCGGGAATGACATTTTTCAGTTTTTCTTTGACATGAATTTCCCCAAATCTCTTCTGGGAAAGTAGTAGAATATGTCGACATGCTTTCAGATAAAGGAATTATAAATATAGTAAATAAATACATCTGAAAAAGTGAAAGAAATCTACACCATCACGTTTATTCATACTTTCCTAATCTAAACCCCTATACGTATTTCTTCAATTTCAAGATCTGTTTGCATTTGTATTTTTCTCATGGCTGGACGTTATTACAATGACAATCCGTTTGATGAAGGACAGGAAGATAACGCCTTTTCGGTAAATTCGATTAAATCTCTTTCAGGGGATTTTTGTATATGTAATTTGGATGAATTTTTGTGGGTTTTGAATTCTGGGTTTAAAAAAAATGTGTTTTTTTTTTTTGTGTTGGAAACAATGTATTTGTCCATGGAAAAAATTGGGGTTGATTTAAGCTTGTTTGTTTGGTCTAATTTCCTGATCTGTGAATTGCATTTTGGGTTTTGATTTAGAGTCATTTAGCTGGAGAATATACTGAAAAATTCTGAGGGTTTTTTGTTCTTTAGGACTAGCTAATTTAATTTCGTTGAACTGGATTTATTGCAATTCATATAGTAGAATTGAGCTGTGAGTAAAGAATATTGCATTACGGGTTCGTTTACTGACTAGAAAGCTGGTTGCAATCGGATTATTTTGTCATGTTTAAGTGTATGGAATGATTTTTCTGGAGGTTTAGAGAGAATTTGTATGTTGTTGAACAACAATACCCATCTTTGTTTGGGTTCCTGGTCCATGCTCCAGCTGGGACTGGGCGTGAAAGGGGTGTTAGAGTTCTACATTGTTGGGGAATGGACGGGTGATCTGCTTATATGGACTTGAGTAATCCTCACCTCATGAGTTACCAACGGGGGTTGAGTTAGGCGCATGTGCCATATCTTTGTGAGTATTGGTAATTAAAGAGGGGAGGATCATCATAATTCTGTTGGGTTGGTTCTTCTTATTATTTGAATGCTAAAGTCATTAGTGTGCTATAGTCTCAAAAAGCTCATCTTTCTTGTAAAAGTTTTCTAAAATTTGTTATGTTTCATTTCTATAACCTACATGATTAGTTCTGTGCATTCTACATAAGTTTCTTCATAAAATAATCTCCTTATTTTTTTTTTCTCTAAGGACCAAGGGACTCAAGGAAAGGGTCAGTCAAATTATGGTAGCGGTCCATTTTATATGATGGTAAGCTTATTACTTTCCTCGAGGTTTGATTTCTCAGTTTGGAACTCTGAGTTGCTCAGAACTAATGGTCTCTTTATCCCTCTTTATATGAAGGTATTGATGGTGTGCAGAGTTTAAGATTTTAATTTGACTTATATATATATTTAGTACAACAGAGTATACTTAGTGTAATCCACAAGTGGGATATGGGGAGGGCAGGATGTATGGAGACCTTACCCATACTTTTGTGTGTGTACTAAATATATTATATTTAATGGTATTTGAAAATATCAGGATGAGGGTTATTGGTTAAAAAATAGTTAGACATAGTTTAATGTATATGAATATTTGAAAGTTGTGAAAGATGTATAGGAGTGAAATATAGTCAAGCATTTTTGGACATCCCAGATTGCAGAAAGGAAAGAATGTCAAAGAAAGTTTAGAAGGAGGTAGTACAACCTGCTAATCTGAGAACTGTAAATGAGTAAAGATCCTGAAAAGACATGGATCCTGCTCGAAAAGGCAAAGGCTAAGGGTTTTGTTTTGTGAGAGGACTCCCATTACCTAGAAAGAAACAATGGATTTCTAAACATATCAGGCATTCTTTGTAATGCATACACAAGATGCTAATTCATTTTTCAGCTGCAACTGGTGAATGGTTTACAAAATGAGGGAGTTAGAATTTGTCTTTTATGTTGTCCTGTTACAAATTTTAAACCACCTACCCTTTCTCCTATTCTTCTACGGTGTATTGCCTGTCTAACCTTTCTCCTATGGTATTCTGTAGCTAATTCTGAGACCTTGGTGTTTGCCCGTTGTATAAGTCAAAACATCAAGATATCTACCCACACTACCTCAGGATAACGGCTGTGTTTTCTTCCTCCTCCTTGTCCTTTTCTCATGACCGAATTTAGGGACTGCTGTGAGCTTCTGGTTTATGATCTACTTTAATTTGAACTTTAATATAAACGTAACAGAAATACTTTATCATGTTAAAGCTGAACTTGAGTTTTTCTTTTCCTTTTCTTTTCTACATACTAATGTGAGGGCTTGATCTTAATTCCTGAATTTGGTAGAATATCGATTTGCATGTCTCTGTTCTCATACCAATTAATGATTGTGTATTATCTTGCTTATGCACTATTTTATTCTCTAAATCTTCAGAATCCTGCAAGTGTTCCTCCTGCTACAAACTCAAGGCTTTCACCTCTTCCTCATGAACCTGCTGATTATGATCATGGTGCAACAGTTGATATCCCTCTTGATAATCCGAAGGTGAAACAGAATAGTCAACTTTAACTTTTGTACATTTTTTGACCACATTACTGGTGTGTTCGCCGAGGGATAGGGTTGAATAACACTGCTCTCATATAACAATTCAGGATCTGAAGAATAAAGAGAAAGGACTCCAAGCTAAAGAAGCTGAACTAAAAAAATTAGAACAGGTAAGCTTGTGTTACATCCTATTGTGGCTGCTGGTACTTATCATGCTTTTGCTTTTCTTACATATTAGAAACAACTTAAGTTCACTGTTTGTGTCAACGATCTTTTGTCAATTCAGAGGTTCATCAAGTATGAATATCATGTGATTGTTGTGTCTAGCTCTGGAAGCTATTATACCTCATTTGCTTTTGTGTTAGTAGGGAGACAGTTTGTCATTTTGTGTTTGCTACATTCCTCAAGTTAGTGTTTAAAACAATCTATGGCATAGACTATATTTCTCTTTGTGCATTTTATATTTTGTTAATTGGCTGTTTTATTGGTTTCATTTAGGATCTGAAAAGGAGGGAAGATGCTATAGCAAGAGGTAGTTCTCCGGTGTAACGTATACATTTTTGTAAATATGAACTAAATTAAGCCATTTGATTGATTCTTCCCCACATGTGAGCTGATTTTTTTTGGTTATACACTACAGCTGGAGTTGTCATAGAGGAAAAGAATTGGCCACCTTTCTTCCCCATTATTCATCATGATATTGCAAATGAAATTCCAATCCATCTACAGAAGTTGCAGTATGTTGCATTTTTTACATGGTTGGGTATGTCTGTCGATCTAACTCCCTTTAATGTCTTCTGCATAGCCCCCTAGTGAATGGATACTTGTAAGGCTTCTCAGTTGACTATGCTAGCAAATATTCTACAACCTTTTAGTTAACCTATCTACTGGAGGTCAAGATGCATAGTGATAATTCTTTCTGCTTATAGTTGGTAGGCTTTATTCTAAACAAAATTTGTACTACTGTTTTCCAGCTATCAGGAGTATTGATGCATTTGCATTTGAGGTATCTAAATCACAAACCCATTTTTCAGGCAACAAACTTGTCGTGCAAATGATTTAAATGACACTCAAATGTGGATCTAGAATATACAAAAACTTGCTCTTTTGATAACTTTGGTATTTGGAATAGGTTTGTAAGTCACGTTAATGGTAGTGATGTTTTAAGAAAAATTGCATCTCAAAGCTGCCACTCCAACTAAAGATAAAAGAGCACAGGAGAGACATTGCTAAATAGTTTATTAGAATGACTTAGGACAAGGTATAGGCTTATCAAAATTCCTTTTTAATAGCTCTAATTGGTCTCGCTTGTTAATGCACTTATCGATTTACTTTGCACATGGTGAATTGCAGGTTTGGCAGCCTGTCTTCTATGGAACCTTATAGCAGTTACCTCAGCTTGGATCAAAGGAGAAGGTTGCTGCTGAACTAGATTCAAACACTTTTTTATCTGCAAATGAAAACTAACCAGCCAGATTTCTTTTTGTCATTGTAGGTATAACTATCTGGCTTCTTGCTATTATCTACTTAATATCTGGCGTCCCAGGAGCCTATGTGCTGTGGTATCGTCCTTTGTATCGTGCAATGAGGTACTATTTGTGTTCCCTCATTGTGGTAAATAATTTTCACATTACCTTTCTTGTATTTATTTGATAATGCTCTTCTACCTCACCAAATGTTTATGTCATTATGTCCATTTCGTCTGCAGGACGGATAGTGCACTGAAGTTTGGATGGTTCTTCTTATGTTATCTCGTAAATGTTACATCACCCTTTTCAGTTTTTCCTCTTCTATTACAGTTGATTATTGAGAACAGTACTGATTGTTTATATTCATGTTGTAGTTTCACATTGGATTCTGCATCATTGCTACTGTGGCACCTCCTATCTTCTTCAAAGGAAAATCTTTAGCGTAAGTTGTTTTGCCATATTTGAAGAAGCAATTTGTGCTGGTACAATGAGATTCTAGAATACGAAATCCTTTTGCATTACCCTCATAAAACCATGCTCGGCTGAATCTCACTCTTTGACTTATATGTATACGTTTTTAACTATGTATGTATGCTAAAATATAACGACCTTTTCGTATTCCCTTGTTTAACAGTGGTATCTTGCCTGCAATTGATCTGTTAGGCTGGAATGGTTTGGTTGGGGTAAGCTTCAAGTTCTTGACTTAACGAGTATTTTTAGACGTTTCATTGACTTAACAAGTAAGTCGTTTTTACTTGCAGGTATTCTACTTCATAGGATTTGCATTCTTCTGTCTTGAATCACTGACCAGCATATGGGTTATTCAGGTTGAAGCATTTGTCCTTGCTTTCTCATTGCTTTTACTGTCTTCTCTTACCTGAACATCTTTTCACGCGCTGTGCGATCTGCAGCAAGTGTACATGTATTTCCGAGGAAGTGGCAAAGCCGCGGAGATGAAGAAAGAGGCCGCAAGATCGACAATGATGGCAGCACTATGACAACACAAGAGCAAAGGCAGGCAGCATTTGAGCTTTCAAGCTGTTGAGTTCTTTGATTGCTTTCTTCTCACACCATATATCATATAAAATCTAAGGTTGGATTACCATGTATCATATCATATATATTATTACAAGTGGGAAGCTCTAAAGTGAAAGGTTGAATTACCGTTTTGCCCCTCTACTAAATTAATCATCATATCATATATCATCATATATTATTATAAGTGGGAAGTTCTAAAGTGAAAAGTTGAATTACCATTTTGCCCCTCTACTAAATTAATCATATATTATTATAAGTGGAAAGCTCTAAAGTGAAAAGTTAAATTACCATTTTGCCCCCTCTACTAAATTAAAATTTGATTAAATATAAACATTTTAATTACATAATGGTAGAATTTGAAGTTCTTAAGCCCTTTAATAATTAAATTATCATCTTCTTGATAAATGAGTTCATTGATATTACTTTTAATGGTAATCATAAATCTCATAATGGAAGAATTTGAAAAGTTATGATATGGAAAATCATTCATCACTTTAATGTAGAAATCAATTTCAGAATTAAAATTTGAATTTTAAGGGTCATTTCCTAATGCTATTAATATTTTAATTACATAATGGTAGAATTTGAAGTTCTAAGCCCTTTAATAATTAAATTATCATTTTCTTGATAAATGAGTACATTGTTATTGGTTTTAATCGTAATCATAAATCTCATAATGGAAGAATTTGAAAAGTTATGATATGGAAAGTCATTCATCACTTTAATGTAGAAATCAATTTCAGAATTAAAATTTGAATTTAAATGGTCATTTTCTAATGCTATTTAAGAACCAACTTACAAAGATGAAAGCTCACAATATGAAATCGAATTAACGAAATTGCACAATTCAACATGAGAGGATAAGAGAGTTAGAAGTTGCAAGTGAGGATAACCAAAAAAATGCTGAAAATTGGTAATCAAGAAGAAAAAATAGCAGCGGAAAAAAAGAGAGTAAATTTAATACATGTGTAGTATTAAACAGTGAACAATTTTATGTTGATATGTTGTCTATAACAATAACAAAAAAAAAAAATTCAGAGCATGAGGACTTTCTTTGCAATATCCTCAACTTTTCGTTTTTGCTTTCTTTCTCCATTATAGAATTTTTCTTCCATGAAGCATTCATAATTGTATGGGTGTTGGACTTGAAGTATAGATATTAATTTAAGGTATATGTAGAAATTTTCTAATTGTTCATTTAAATGAGAAACATTAGTCATTTTTGTTAATTCATCTTTGCACATACTAATATATCATATGTTTGGATCTAATAACTTAAAAATGTAGCTCATTATTTTAATTACCAAACTAAATTTTGCAGGTTCATCAAATGTCTAATCATTTGACATACAACAAAGAAGTTATTTGAATACATTGATTGTTCATCTATTATAAATTATATAGTATTTTTTTAAAAGCTTGCGATGCTGATTAAAATGTGGTTTGACAGTAATTCATACCTTTCACAGGACTCATGTGCAAAGCACATTTAGTCTTTACTAAAAGTGGGAAGCTTCAAAAATGAAAAGTTGGATTACCATTTTACCCATAGACTAAATTAAACATCTAATTAATTAAATAATATTATTTCAATTATTTTTTGAATTGTAAGTTATTTATTAGAAAGGGATTGTAGAAGAACAAGAGTCAATTAGGATTTCTAGAATTTTAAATAAGTACATGAATCAAGGTTTTCTCATTTTTTTCTAATTAATTAAATAATATTATTTTTATTATTTTTTGACTTGTAAGTTATTTATTAAAAAAGGAATGTGAAGAACAAGAGTCAATTAGGATTTCAAGAATTTTAAATTAGTACATGAATCAAGGTTTTCCCTCTTTTAATCTTAAATTAAAGAATATGAAGAGTTGTAGCTAAATCAATATATACCACTACCAAAGACAAATTTGTCATCTTTGTTACACTTTAATTCTTTAGTTATTTCCTTCTAATTAAGTTTCCTTAGTTATAATTTTGAATTACTTAATTGCATTCTACTTAATAAGAAGGAGAATTTCATCTTCTACTAATTAATGCTAAAACATTTTATCTTCCTGAAATGTATAACTATTAATTTAAATTCAATATTTTTACTCTATTCTATAAGACAAGAGAGATATTTTAAGGAAGTTAATCATAAGGTTATAGTGTGCCTCTATGTTTGTTTTTGCTACTTTATTTTGTCGTTTAAAATAAATATAAAATTTATATATCGAAATTATAATAAGGGGATGACTAAGTACAAAAGAGTTTCTTCTTATGAGTTGACTATCCACTATAACCATTTATCATTTTACTTTTCATATTTTTGTTGCAACTCAAACACAATTTAAAAGAAATTATGTGATTTTTAATAATTTATATTCATCGTTATGGAGTACATGCGCAACACACGTGCCCAAAGTAGGAAGCTTTAAAATGCTACACTAAATCATAATATTATAAATTATTTAATTAATCATTAAATAATAAAACATGTATCATATTACAAGTGGAAAGACCTTAAATGAAAAGTTGCATTATAATCAATCATAATATCATACTTGTACATTTTTTTCACCATTTTTATAAATATTTACTTGTCTTAATGACTTGATAAAATGCCCACACCATAAATGTTGAAGTAAATTCCACTAGCAATATCTCTAAGAAAAAAGATCAAATAACCACTTAATACTTCATATAATACTAATTAAATTGGTTTGCATTTAAACACAATTAGGAGTTTTTTTTCTTTTGCATTATCTTTTTTAGGTAGAAAAGCGTATAAATTATTATAGGTAGACAAATATATCTCAAATCTAATATAAAAATTGTGTGGAATGTTCTATAAAAAAAACATTTTAAAGAAATATTGTATTCTTTTACATCATAGAGAAACATGTATGCATGCTTAATATAAAGTAACTATTTTATAAATAGTATCAAAACTACCTTAATTTATATTTAACTTTACAAATATTAAATCCATTTTGAATGTAAGTGTAAGGAGATTAAAATATAAGATTAATATTCATTATGCTTAGAAACTTGTATTTTTCGATATACTTTAATATCTATTTTTATCATCTAACATATCAATTAAAATTGTATATAAGATTTTGACACCAACTAATAGAAATATACGTGCAACGCACGTAACCAAAACTAGTCATATATATTACAAGTGAAAAAACCCTAAATGAAATGTTACATTACAATCAATCATAATATCATATTTTTACATTTTTTTCGCCAATTTTTCTATATATATTTATTGCCTTAATGACTTAATATAATCCTCGCACTATAAATGTTGAAGTAATTTCCACATAGCATAATGCATGCACACCACGTCATGATAAAGAGTTTAAGAGTTCTGTATCAAGTCAATATTTTGGAGGTTTGGAAGGAATTTGGAATGAAGGCTTGAAGTTCGAACATGCTAAAGTGGAAGTACAAAGATCTAATTGGATAAAGAGGTTATAAATGTAAAATAGTTATTCTTAAAACAGAAGCCTGCTTGACTAAAAAGACTAAGAAGACCCTTAATTTATTAAGAGTATTTTTGTAATAACTATTATTAGACCTTAGTCTTAGTCTAATTAACTTGGTGTAAATAATACACTTTGTCATTTTAATTAGGTAGATTTTTTTGATATGATAAATTCTCATGAATTGAGTGTACTCTTTAAGAGAGTTTGAGGCTAAGTCCATAGTTACTAGAAAATGTTGATGGGATTGCTTGCTTGAGTATCAAATCCTCTTGAGGGTGTCTCTATAGTTTAGGTACTTGTTTGATATTCTTAATAGGAGGTTTTGACTTTAATTTAGTAGTCATTGTTGTCTATTAGTTCCATTTTTGTATCTAGCTATTTATCTTTTACTTTCTTTCTTTTAGGTTTTAGGGTTTCTTTCATTTTCCGCATTTCGATATTGTATCATAGCAATCTTTGTTTCTTTCTTTTCTATGGCAGAACTTTGAACATATTTTGTAATCATTCTATAATATTATTCTAAATATTCAAAAAAAATTCCATTTCATAGAAGATCTTTTATGAAATGCTCTTCTTTTCAAATTATTTTGATTTGTAGATTTGATTTGAAAAGCTAACGAAGAGGTCAACATACATTTTTTTTTGGATGTTCAGGAACTTGACCTATAGAATATATTTAACTTATTTTTGAGATAAAACTTATTTTCTCAACAGTTTATTCGTTGTAACTAGAAAAAAAATTGGGGTATCATGGTAGCTTTTACAAGAAGATAAATAAACAAATAAATGTGATCATAAAGAATAATAAATGCAAATTAGTCACTAAATTAATGAAGGCAGAAAAATTCATATATGAGAAGGATCAAATATACCTCTAAGACTTTGCTAAAAGGATCAAATATACTTTGTATGGATTTTAGTTTAATAAAACAAATCAAAAATAAAATTAAAATCAATTTTTTCACTTCTCTTCGCCGAAAAAGGTATATTTGAGTCATCTGTGTAATAAAAAGATATATGTTAGCCACTTTATTAACTACAGATATATCATCTCTGAATCACAAAAATTGAAGGATGTATCAGATTTTTTTCCCATTTCTAGATATGTATATATATATATAAAACAATGAATCCATTCACGTACTAAATTACAAAAAATTCCCCCTTACCTACATGCTTTGTGTAATACCCCCCTCCCCACCCACCCACCCCCAGGCGATTTTTCTCTATAAAAATACCTCATTTGTCCATCTTCCTCTCGATTTTCTCCTCTCTTCTCTCTCCCAATGAATTCCCCTTATAATCAATTTTGTATATCTGCATCACACAATTAATACTCACCATTTTCGATCGCTTCTCCTTTTTTTGTGTTCTCTTATAGGATTTTATTAAAAAATTGATCTTTATATAAAACGTAACGCTTTTTGGTTTTTGACTGAGTGAATAGTAACGGAAGCGGTGAGGCGATATGTTTAGCGAAGAAGAGTTACAGGATATAAGTGTGTTGCAGAGAGGAGATGATTACGTGGAGGTTGTGTGTGGATGCACCAGTCGTAGACATGGCGATGCTGGTGCTAGGCTTAGGATTTTCAATTCTGGTGAACTCA